ACAACCAATCTCCTGCCAAGGCCATCCCTGATCAGCCGGTCCTCGGCCAACCCACCAGCACACCAGACACACGTGAGACGGCAGCAACTCTCTGTAAAGCATGAGCTTCTACAAATGTTTCGAGTGGCTACATTTTGGGGCGGTGTAGTTTGCAGCAAAAGCTGACGTGTGAGCCCATTTTATGGACGGAGAGACTGAGGGACAAACATAAAGGTCTCCCAGCTATGATGTGGGGTTTTAAGTCAGGCAGTGTAACTCCAGAGGCCAAGCTTCGCCATCTGTCCTAGAGCCAAGCCACTCTGCAGATTTCAAAAGTTTCCCTACTCACTCCTTTCCTAAAGGTTGCTACTAGCAGAGCATGGCCTTATGCAGCCCCACGAACGCCTAGCAGGCAACCGAGTGACGCCCAGGTTCCCAAAGCACTCTGCTCTCTTCTTTTTTTTAAAATTTTATTTATTTATTTAGTGTGGTGTGTGTGTGTGTGTGTGTGTGTGTGTGGCCAGCTCAGCCCACCAGGGGGCGGGGCTGGCTGGCATGTGGTGCTGGGGGATCGAACCGCGGTCCCTGTGCTTTGCTAAGCCTGTTCTAAGTAGGTGCTTTAGACCACTGAGCCATCTCACCAGCCCATGCTCTCTTCTGATACTTTTCAATCATTTTACAAAATAACATAATTGCGCTGAACAAGGTGGGGTGCACACAAAGCCCCCACCTTAAAAGGGAAGGGAACTCCAAGACACAGCAAAACATGGGTGCACACCGAGGACATTCTGCTAAGTGGAATGACCCAGTCACAGGTGACAAACACTATACAATTCCTAAATAGCTTACAGGAGGTTAAATTCATAGAAACAGAAGGTAGAACGAGGACTTGTTTAGTGGACATGGAATTTCAGTTTGAGCTGGAAAGCTCTGGACATGCGTGATGAGCAGGAGTGCACAACCATGCGGTACTCTTAACTTCAAACAAACTACACCCTTAATACAGCTAAAATGGTAATTTTCATGTTACCAGAATTTTCCTCAAAAAAAAAAGGACAAAATTACAATTTAGGCCTGTGATTAAGAGGTCAGGACCACTCTTAGATCAGCTGGACTCCAGAGAACAAGGGTTGGGGGTCTTGCATTCAGTGCTCCCGAGGCCTGGGCCGCCCCTTGCCAGCCACCACCTACCACTCACTGATGGCCCGATGGGCTGGCAGACACGTCAAAGCAGCCTTGAACACATGCTGGGCTCAAGGACAAAAAGCTCAAAGAAATCAAAGCCAGTTCCCTGCCCCCAGACCAGCACAGAAGAAATGCTATGCTGACTCCTCTCAATTTGCATTTAGTTTTCAAGATCACAGGATTGATGTGACTCACTGGTAGGAAAATAGGGTGACACAGGGCACAGTGAAGTCAATATGACTTGGAGGAACTGCACTGGAGGCAATCTCTGAGACGGCCACCCTTGCAGCGGACTCCGAGAAGGGTAATTATAAAAAGGAAGGGGGTAGAGAGAGGGCCAAGAGCAGAAAACAGGAAGCCCCGCTGGGCCCTGCTGGAGGCAGACACCACCCTCTTCTCCACAGGAAGGTCGGAGGAACACTCACAGCATCTGGTCCCAGTCCAGGTGACCCACCATTCACCCCCAGAGCTGAAGCATGACACTTGTGTGTCAACCTCAGCCTCTGAGCATCCTTCCAGTTCCTCAACAAGAGGCCAACAAAGCCCCCTGGGGCTGAGGCCAAGGGGTGACCTGAGCCACTCTCCACCCTCCTTCGCCGCGTGCAAGCCGAGAGCTGGCCCGATTCCCTCAATATCCATCCTGAAGTGAGTCAGTCACCCAAGAACCCGGGCAGTTATCTGATCAGACCTGAGGACAAGTGCAGCTTCCCTAAGGGACTCAGCAGCTAGCATGATTCCTGTTCTTGCGGCCGAGAGTGGCACGAAACGTCATGCTCCTCCACTTCTCAGCAGACAGGGAGCCTCCCACACGCTGTTCCTCCCATCACTTTCCCCAAAGACAACCAGGGGCACAGAAAACAAGGGCACGGTGTGACATCTACTCCAGCATGTGTCATGGCCAACACCAAGTGACATCTGGGCACACCCAGCCCACACAAAGCTGGATTTCCTCCCCTGCTGGCTCACATCTGGAAACCTTCCTGGGAACACGTGACAGCCAATGGGGTTCTCTGTCCGCATGGAGCTGCACTTCTTATAAACAAATAGACAACAGCAAGTCCAATAATGAAAAATGTCACCGAGGAAAGGCAAGTCAAGGACCAAGGGCTGAGGTGACCGGTGAGCTGGGAGTTGGGAGCCTCCATCGTCAGTACATGGAACATGGGAAGATTTCATGAGTGAATACGAGTTTCACTGATAAGATGACATCTGAGCAGAACCTTCAGAGACGCAGGCGTGGGTGGTGAAAACGCCAGAACTGGACAATGCCAAATAGAGAAACAAAGTTCAACGGCCTTGGGGTAGGAGCAGCCAACAGCAGCACAGCCACAGCAGCTGTCCCTCAGCTGGGGCCAGTGGCCCAAATCAGAGAGCCACCCTCCAGCTGCACAGGACAGGAAGGGCCTCATCATCGCTCCCTGAACCTCAGCTTCCATGATCAGGCAAGGAAACAGGGTGAGGCGAAGCCACAGCCACGATTCCAAGGAGCTGCTTTCGTAGACTTTCCCTAGATCCTCCCCCTCTGCACAGCCTGTGGGCTGTTTTTGGGATTGAGAATCTGTTATCCAAAATGCTCAGGACTAGAAGCATCTCAGATTTCAGTTTTTTGAGGGGAAATACTTGGATGTACCTAGTGAGGTGTTTTGGGGACAGGATCCAACTCTGAACAGGGCATTTATGTTTCACATATACCTTGTAATATGATAGTCTGAAAGTAATTTCATACATTTTTATTAAGACTGTGCATGTGGCATGAGATCTGCCACCTGTGGCATGCTGGCACTCACAGGTGTAACAGCTTGCGCCTCGATGTCTTCCCAAAGCCTCATGAGTCACACACAGGGCTCTGTTAGAGGTGGCTGCATCTAGAGTGTGTGACACTGGAATGCATTCGTGGTCAATGCCCGGATCAAAGTCACAACTAAGGGGGTGAGTGCTACCTCCCTAAGCAGCCTGGTTAAGATATAAGAGCTAGCAAGAGAGCTGCGGTCATCTCTTGTTGCTATGCTACCATCTGCCTGACAGGAAGTACTCTCTTGTGGTGTCCCTCTGCCTTGGAGCCAGCTGGTTATAGACTGAAACACTACCAACTTTGAGCTAACTAAACCTTTCCTCCCATAACTTTGGGTTAAATTTTGTTCCCGCAAGAACTAAGAATTTTTCAAATTTTGCAGCATTTTGGAATTCAGATTTTTGAATTAACAATGTTGAATTTGTACTTATGGGAATGAGTAGAATCAGAGGACAGTAAATGCCAGTTACAGACTTTCAGAGAAGGCATGATTTCCTTAGTACTTACCAATGTTTAAATGGAATTATCAGAAATCTCTCAAGACCAGCCTTCACCCTTCATTCAATTGTAGGTCAAGGATCTACAATCTTGGCCTTCCTTGGACTACACATCCTCAGAACAGGGGATACCCATAAGATTTCTGGATTATGGATGACATGCAGGGACAGTACCTCAGGTTTCTGGAATTTGTGGGGATTAGAAGGCACCCTTTGAGAAGCATTTCCTCTTCCTGGAATAGGTGAGACTTAGGAGGAGCTCAGAGAAAAAGGAAAGATTACTTGAGCTCATTTCAGGCCAACAAATAATTAGGATTCTGGCGTTACAGACCCTAAGGTACCAGACCATGAAAGGAAGAGGGTTTCAGGCAGTCATTCTGCCTGGGAATAAAGGTAAAGGCAACACATATGGCGAGTCGAACCTGAAACCTGAGCACAGGGTTCAGAGTGTAAAATCCTTATGCACAGGGAGGACTCAGCAGGACTGTCAAAGCATTAAGGGGTCCCTCAATGAGTGAGAGGTGCATAGAGACATGGAAAAGGAGTGGAAATCCTGTCCCCTCATCCTCTCTGGGCCTGACCTGAGTAGTTCCTAGAGTTCTGGGCCTTAGTTCCCCATATGACTTCCCCAAGGTGCCCAAAATCCATGTGGTATACACATCCACTACATCGTCCAGTACATCATCAGAAATGTTATTACTGTCCCTCACTAAGCATTTTCTGACCACCTCAGACTTTTGAAGGCAGTATCTTCCATCATGTGTGTCACAGCAGTGGCACCTGGTCCTTTATTATAGGACAATTTGGACCAGCTGCTTAGATCTTTAGTGAAATCTGCACTCGTATCTCAAGACACACCACAGGGTTGGTGATTCATGCTGAAGAGACACCGGGCCGGAAGACCCAGTGGGGAAAAGGGGGTGAAGAACCCCCCAGCCCAGGGCCTTGTCCTCAGCAGCTAACTTCTAGGTTCTCTTCTTCCTCACAAGGAGCCTGGTTCTCAGAGGCTGGGAGATGACAGGCAGCACACTGCCTCACACCACATCAATGGCCATCCAAGGAAACAACTCTGAAACCAAATCTAATTTCCACACCATCCCCAGCAATTGCCAGACCATTCGTCGTCTCCATTCTTTGTTCCCTGGCTCCTTATTTGAGTGTCTGGGACAAAGACCCAGTGTCGCAGGGGTCTGTTTCTCCTGCAGCCTCCCAGGTGAGGGGAGAAACACTCTCGATGTTCTTGACGCACTCACACATCCCTGTAAGTAGGCACAAATGCCCCACATCTGGGCGCCAACTCAGGCAGCACACTGGCACCCACTGGCAAGGTCCTCCAAGTGCCAGCACCCACAGCCTATTAATAACACAGAAGCCAGAACTGAGCAGAGAGGAAACTGGGAATAAAAGGCTGGCTTCAGTCATGGCTGTTTCACATCACACGGCAAGAGCACATCTACCCTTCAACAAGAGATTCAGAAAATGAGACGCCTGCAGAAGGACCTGGGCTGGTAGCAGAGGAAGGACAGTCACCTGCCAGTTCTTCTTACCTGTCTGGCCACCCTCCGCGCCTCCCAGTAAGGTTTTGAGTCTTCCACAGCTTTGCCGATTTTCTTCACCAGTTCATCCAGCTTCACCGTCGCCTCAACCAGAACAGAACGGAACTTCTGACGAGCATCCTGCAGCCAGAGAAAATAGAGGAAATTCAGGTCAACCTTAAGCAGGAAATTGCAATTGCCCACTTCACCTAAGCAGACACCAGGAAGGACTTTACCCATCACACACACCCCTCAACAAGCTTGTGCATGGCACCATATGGATTAGCGTCCCCTAGATAATGTTCCGCCACAGTGAAAGGGACCTAGTGTTAACTAAGGAAACAGGTTTATAATCTAATTGTACGTATCTTTATGGCCAGCCCGGGCAAGTTAGGGAGACCCGGCCTCAAAAACTAAAAGCAAAAGCAATTAAAAAAACTAATGTGGCCAGAGATGACCATACTGGACAGCAAAGAGTAGATTTAAACACTTTGTCCAAATCCTCAGGGAAAGAACCATCAATCCAATTGCCTCTGGCAGCCCCTGTCAGAGGAAGGTGCCACTTCCCACACTTCCTAGAATTCATCAGCCACGTGACTTCTTAGTCAGGCTCAGACCCTGAGTGCAAATTTACTGTACACAGGGCCTAGGGCATGGTACCACCCTCAGAACACTTTTAGTGTGGTGGGTAAAGTAGGCCTGGAAGCCCGCTCTAGAAATCCCAATGGCAGGGTGAGGTGGTACAGATAGAACCCAGCCACAGAGAGCTCCACAGAGGGAGACTCAAGGACAACCTCCAAAGGAGGTGCGCCTGTCGCCCAGAAGCCTGAGACCCAAGTGGACACTTGGGGAGGAGACTGAGGCAGCAAAGCTCCTGCTCAGCCAGGAGGGGGCCGGGAGCCAGAGTCTGGAACATGAAGAATGCCCAGAGATATGGTGACCCAGTGCCCATCCTGGAGATGGTGACTTGGGCCTCTACAGGGGTATGGAAAAGACAGGGACGGATGGAAATCATATTAAGCTGATTTGCAACATAAGAGTCCAGAAACCAAGGCCATGAGACACAGGGAGGGGGGAGAAATTTGGTCCAACATGCCTTTTGGAGGACATACTGGGGAATTGGGTCAGGATTTCACAAACCCAGTTTACTCTCTAACTCCTTTTCCCTTTGTCATTTGCTTGACAGAGCTGTACCTGGGTGGGTGGGTGTGGATGTGGGTGTGGGCGTACGCACACATACACTTACGTATGCTAAGAAAGGCGACATGGATACTCAAGACAAGGAACACCACCGTATGATCACGAGCCAAGGGCTTCCCTGAGATTCAACAGCTCAGCTTCTGGAAGGGCATGCATTCCAGTACCTAGAAACAGCCTTCCTCACGATTACCAAACATGTGTAATTGTATGGCCAGGGTGGCAGCACACGCTGGTAATCCCGGCACTCAGGAGGCTGCGGCAGGAGGATCACTGAGACTTTGAGACTAGCCTGGGCTACACAGTGAGTTCAAGGCCAGCCTGCACTACATAGCGAGACCCTGTCTCCCACACACAAAAACCTTATTTCTACCGTAGGGGCCTCATGAGTGTGAAGCACAGCTGAACTGATCAATTCTTCTAATTCCTGTCCTGTGTATCTCAAACTGTGACATTCCGGCTTGAAGGGCTTGGCTTCTGTCCCCTGTGGTTCCTGAGCCTAATTCCACTTCAGAGTAGGTTTTGGCCCCAGCCCCAGTCTTATGCTGCCATTCTCGTTGTCCTCACAATGGTCATCATCACCATCCTGATTTCTGTCTGCCTTCTCTATCAAGCAGGCCTGGAATGATCAGCCACAGCCTCTAAGACAGAGACCAGCTCTGCGCGTAGGGTCATCTGGGAGGACCCCAGAAGAACTGGGCTCCCCCAGGGAGCAGCCACCCACAGAGCTGCTGCCAGACCCAGCTTCCCATTCGTGAGAGGCACCTTACTGTCAAGACCCAGATTTTAATAGAGGCAGACACTGATTCAAAACCAGCCAGGCGTCTTCTGTGGGGCATCTACACCAATCATTTGCATTACTTATCAAATTATTACTTTCCATCTTACAAAGAGGCCGTTAGAAGAACTGAAGGAGAATACAAAGGAAAGACACCTCACAGGGTCACAGGAAGGCGCTCAGTATACGTATAGTTCTGCAGGATGCGGTGGCCCACACCTGTAATCCCCACACTTGGGACGCTGAACCAGGAAGACCACCAGAATCTGACGCTAACCTGGCCTGGGCTGTCTGGTGAGTTCAAGGCCAGGCCAGTCTGGACTACACAGCAAGACCCTGTCTCAAACACACACACACACACACACACACACACACACACACACACACACAATTTTTCAGGATATAAAGCAACCTACAATCCTGCTAAAAACCACACGGGGGTCTCGCGGAGGCAAGGATAGGTGACATGAGGGACACCATGTGCTACACTGTGAAGACACCTGCTTTGCAAAAGCACCCCCATGTGACCCGACTCTCTATAGTTACCCCTCCGGTGGTGGGCAACACCAGCGCTACCCACGGTTGGTCACATTAGAAAGCGAGAACCCTAGGCTAGATCGGTTGGTATCTGGCCCGGGGAAACTGACATCATCCCAAGCATCTCCGCTATAAAGTAAGAACCTTGGCCCGTGGGCCATGAGGTTCCATGCCTTTAGCAACTAGTAAGAAATGGTTTTTGTTTTTGTTTTTTTTCTGGAACCAGGGATTGAACTCAGGCCCTTGCGCTTGCCAGGGAAGTGCTTATTCCACTGAGCCATCTCCCCGGCCCCAAGAAATATACTTTTTAAAGAAGGTGGATTCACAAATTCTTCATTAAAAAATGATCAGATGATCTGGTCTCATGGGGATCTTCCTAGCTAGGCGTGGAGTGCAGGGTGGCCTGACTTTCAGACAGGGACTGTCCTCTCAGTCCCCACACTGTGCCTGAATCACACCCACCTGCTGGCTTTGTCCAGGCTCCCCGCGCAGCCCCTGGGGACATCGGGCACGCCAGGAGCCACAGTGGGCCCAGGGGAGTCCAGCCCACCACCTGTGCCTCTGGGAACGCGGGATGTACGGCACATCTGGACCACCTCAGGGGCTGGGCCTTCCTCAAGAGCTTCAGTGCCACCAATAGCAACGGATTACAGCCTTGTCCCGTAGGTGCTACTGTTCTTATGTGACAGAGGAGGAAACTGAGGCACGGAGAACCAGGGAATGGCAGAGCCGAGAGTTACACTCAAGGGACACAGCGTAACTACAATGTCATGAGCTGAGGCCTGAGACTAAGCAGGCACACGATGACAGGACCGGGAAGGCCACCCAAGGAAGGGTCATTTGTGCCGGGGCTTGGGGGTCGGGGGATTTCACTAGACAAAGGAAAAGGAGGGCAGCATTCAAGGCTCAGGGAGCGGCATGAGTAAAAAATGGCAGTGGGGGGCAGGTGGGGCTGCAGGATGGCACCTGTGCCCATCCCTGGGAGTCACCTGAATGTCACCAGGCACAAGCTAGAGCGGTGATGGGGCTGGTTTTGCTTATATACTTCCTTTGCGGATGACATTCTGGTGCTAGTCTGTCACTGAGGCTTTGTCTCCTCCTCCTCTTCTTCCTACTTTCTTCCTCTGGCTCTAAATCATCTCACACTAAACTTTTAGCCGGAGTCTGGGTGGCTGGGTTTTCTCCAGTGGCCAGCTCCCATTATTCCCCACGCACTCCCTGGTTGGAAAGGCAGAAGCATGTGCTCTACTACAAACGGAAAAGCAGTCACGTTTTACTATGTGACTCACCTGTTCTTGAGATAGCACGGACACAGCTGCAGTAAGGCTATCAAGGGACACCGACCACAATAATTGCTGGGAGGACGGGGGACGATAAGGTGGAGACAGAGAGACAAAACCCAGATCTTCCCTAGTAGGACGCCCAAAGATAATAACTCACATGGAAAAACCAAGATGTAGCCACATAAAACACATTATTTAGTGCCACAGAAGTAAATGCTTTAATACTCAACTAAAATATATAAAACCTATTAGAGTAAACTGCCTCTAGGGGAGGGCGGGGGGTAAGAGTCTATTGAGGTGGGCTGGAGAGATAGCTCAGCGGTCTAAGCGCCTGCCTGACATGTAGAAGGACCGGGGTTTGATCCCCAGTACCGCACGCTGTGCAGGCCCTGGAACAGCATGGCGGCACACACCTGTAATCCCAGCACTGGGGAGGATGAGACAGGGGGATCACTATGAGTCTGAGCTGCATAGCAAGACCCTGTACCAAATAAAATTCAAAAAAATATTTTTATTTGGGTTATAATTTGTCTTTTTTGTGAGGTGGGGATTGTTTTCTATTTTGAGACAGGATCTCACAATGTTGCCCAGATTGGCCTCAAACTTGTAATCATCCTACGTCAGCTTCCAGAGTTGCTGGGATTACAGACATGCACCAGTAAGCTGGCTTTAAAATTTTAGCTGCAGTAAAATTTCATGATGGATTTTTATAAGAAAGATGTGACATAATCAGATTGAGGTGCTCTAAAAGTTGTTAGCTGGCTGCAGCAATCATTTTTTAAAGACCCCTTCGGTGATTCTTCAGGGCCCGGCAGCCTGGTAAGCACCCTTTTGCAGCCACCTGTGGTAAGGGTACTGGCCCCAAGAGCCTGACTGGACAACAGTATTTCCCAGGCCAGGGATCTAGGCAGCAACGCAGCACCTGCCCGGCAAGAGCAAGGTCCTGAGTTCAATTTCCAACCAAAACAAATCAGCACTCCTCTCTGTAAATGAGGTCATGTGCTGGGGTGGTGCACGCCTGGCTGTGTGCACACCACCACTCCTCCACTGAAAAGACAAAACCAGCCCAGCCCTTTTCTCGTCCAGGGGATCGAGCTCCCTAAGTAACAATTCCCCAAAGTATCTGATCCCCCCGGGAGCCCACTTGCCAAAACCTCTCCTGCCTGTCCACAGTCCTGATGTCCCCTCCCCTGCATTTCCCACCCCCATCCCTGAGGAGCTGGCGAAGCAACTCTGGCTCCAGAAGTGGTCTCGGGACCCAGCCTGGATTTCCAGTCAGATAAACTCCTAGCCACTGGGATTATTTTGGGGGTAGGGAGGGACACAACTTACCAGAACCAATTATG